TGTAATGTTAGAAATGTTGCGGGATTCACTGGCAAGCTGCAGAGGTATGAAGAAACAGGTAAGGAGGAAAATCATTAGTCTGTTCGTGTTTGGAGCAGGAAATAACAGCTGCAGCTCAGGGAGGTAGTGTTGTCATACTGTAAATGCTTAAACATCACATAACTTTGTGATAAAATTTTTCCTTAGGTTTTATTTGCCACTGCCCTTCACCTTGCAAAATGGGCATGATATTTGGGCGATGCAGTCGCACCAGAGGAATGAGTACTGCAAAGAGAGGAGGCAGGTAGGCATTCATTTGGCCCAGTACCACCTGAAAGGGTTCAAGTTTGAGTCAGTATGCTCAAAAGCAGAAAACAAGAAGAGCCACCACTTTTGCTTTTTAGGCAAGTCTCAAGATTGTGAGGGCTTGATTCAGCACTGCTGAAATCTTCGAGTTATCAATACTGTAGCTGTCCAAGCAATTGAGATGGGAATCAGAAATGTATATATTACTAAGGGAATTGTTATTATTTAACATTATAGATGTAATTACCTTAATAAAGGAATAGTTATATAATATACAATTGCATTTTGTTATTAAGAAGCATTTAGATTTTAATATTTAGATATTAAAAGAAATGCAAAATTCTCCTTTTGAATGGGAGGTTTAAAGATTTACGCTGGTTATACCACCAGGGGAATTCAGTTTCTTCATGAAAGAACCCAAGCTTTAAACAGCACAGCAAAGGGGTTTAAAATGAAAGCAAAGGTAAATTATTTTTCTCTTCCATTTTATGTCTGCCGTTATGGGAGGTACCGATGAATGTATATTTCCCAAAACATTTTCACAGTGTGTGCAGGAAAGGGTTAGAGCACTATCTCTGGACTGGGATTTATCTTGCATAGTTTCAGACACTTACATTGTCATCTTCTATATTTTCTGCTAGATAGCAGACTTCCTGAGTGCTTAAAATAGATGCTTGAAAATGTGATTCACCTGTCCTGCTTTAAATGTCTACCTAAGGATGAGATAAGCCGTGTTCCTCGTCGTTGACGGTGACGGTCTGACACAGCAAGTTCAGACGAGCCCACCCCTTCTCTCATCTGAGTCCTGAGAGCAGACACGGTTGGAAACAGTGACAGAACATTTCCCCAAGTACCCTACCACTTTCTCCTGCTCTTGATTTAGAAAAGCTATGCAGAAAGGGAGATTCGATTTCTCTAACCAGGTCTACATGATCTCTGATGAGCAGCTGTGAGAGCATTTGCCAGCACAAGGTGCCCGTTGGTGCCCAAAATCTTTGCCTCCTCCTGGGCATGCAGCCTGCAGGCAGCTTGTCGGGATGGCGGGGATCTCATGGTCTGCTCTGCTTGTGGGGTGCCCTTCACTTGTACCCAGGCAGCGCTGGCAGCTTCTGCCTGTGCAGACTTTGGCTCTTGGTTTAGCGTGGCAGTGGGCCAGCTCTCAAACACTGTGCAGACATATTTCTCCTTCCAATTCTTGGCTTTTCTGTTGTCAGGAGAATCAAAAAAGACCAACTGGGGTGATAGTTCTTGTGAGGAGGACACACAGTCACCAAGATCCTGACTGAAACAAGCAATTATTTCCCAGGTGAGAACATTTCAATGACAAGCCGCCTTAGGATAAGAGAGTAATAGGAGCGGAGTGGGGGACACAGTCCATCTAGATGAGAATATGCTTCAGAAACTTGCAAATTTCAATGAAAAACTAATGAAAATTCAACCTTAATTTTTTTCCCTATAACCAGCCCCCTCACATCTTACAGCTGATTAATAATTTGCTTTGACATCTGAATTGCAAAAAGAAGGTGGAAAAAGGGAAACTTATGGCAATGTGCCACCTAATTATATCTACAACACAAAATCACTGCTTCAGCTGCATCTGACAAACATCAGGAAAGCTTTAAACCTAACTATGCATGAAATTTCTAACAGACTTACCACATGTGTGAAAATTGCCTGCAAAACATTAAAAAGGATAAATTCTACACTTTATTGTGTTCTAATTAAATAAACAATGAGGCACCGTAACTTTTTTTTTTTTAAGCCTTAGATTCTTGCATATCTCATTATAATAATTAACAATACCACTGCAAGAGAAAATCAGTTTTGAGAGAGCTGATGCCCAAGTTGTCATGAAAAAGAATAGTGAGGAGAATTGTTTTCTACTTGGAGAAAAGCAAGCTGTGAGATTTCAAAAATAATTATCATGACTGTGAAAAATCTGTTTGGCAGCTCATTTCATTTGTGTCTCAGGGTTGCCATTCTTTCTTTTCAATGATTTCTTGCTAGGTCTAAATACAGACCTCCAGTCTGAAGTTAATTCCCCACTTCAACTTTTAAACTCGCTTTTGAAAAGAAGTGGGAAAGAATTATGTTTGGTGACTTCCATGATACTCGGCGTTTAACTGCACTTCATTTTCATTCCTGGATCTAGACTTCAAAGTGCCACAGAGCTATTAATCCATACTCCACTGTTTGCCATTTATTCTTACTATAAGTTCTTGTTTTGCTGTTGTTGGCATCAGAAAATGCAGGCTAGCCTTAGCAGGGGCATCAGGAGCGTGTGTCCAAGGACTTCACAGTCTGAGGTCTTGCTTTTGTGTCTGTTTGTGCAGATGCTTAATTTTACTCTCCGAAGTAGTCCCAATGTATGCATTAAAGTATATTATTTTTTAATGAAAAGGGAAAAATGAGGAACTCTTATAAACAGTTTCAAATGTTAAATCTTGTTGTAAAGAATCCCTTGATGCTTTATAACATAGAAACAGCACTCTGTTGATTACATATAGCACTTGCCTAGTTTGTTTTTAATGTGCTGCTATGGGTGGTATCAAGGGTATTCCTATAAGGGGAACTGGAATGAGAAGTGCTTATATGGGCTCCTATTAGGACTACACACTTGAAACAAACTTGAAACTATGCTCTATTAAATTTTATCTTGGATCTGCCCCCTGGAAAAAAAAAAAGAACAAAAAACCATGGAGAGTTATAACCCCCTAAAAAGAATGGGCTTGAATGGAGATGTTGCTGGTATTTTTCTAATCTAATTGAAAACATATTATTTTGTGAAAGACATGACATTAAGCAATTTTTTTCTCCCATGCTGCCCATTTTGCTTGCAAAGATTACCTTTTAAAAGGTAATCCTTGATGCCACATCTCTTCTGAAAACATGCTGTAAGCATGTGCATGGCTAGTAGCATGGCAAAACGCAGTCAAAAGGAAGCAAAGGCAGATGGGGAAGAAGGTCTCCCTTCCCCCAGCGAGGAAGAGGGGCAGAAAAGCATTTGGAAAGATGGCTTTTTGGAACAAAAATTTTCTCTCTAAAGCTCTGGTTGCAGAACATGACACTTGTCAAAAAAGGGCCTCTTTCTTTCATTGTGTTTCTTGGTCCCACCTGTTTGCTGCCTTCATTTGTCTTTCACTACGTTGACAGTGAGCTTTTAGTGGCAATGACTGTCTTCTTGTGTAGGTGTGGGTTTTTTTTATGCAAGTAAGCAGAGGGGGATGTGATGTTTTCTGTCTTAGCACAACAGTAATTAATACTGAGATGACTGGCACTGGATGCAGCAGGGATTCTGCCTTAATTTGAAAAGGCATATTGAAAATTTAACACATATATCTGCAGCTATTGTATAACGACAAATTTGAGATTAACAGTGAAAGTCTCTTTGGTTTATACAAGACTGGTTATGTCTGTTGACCTGTCCATAACTGCTCCATGAGGTTTTTTACATTTATATTTGCATAGATTTATACTGTATACTTTGGAGGACTTTTTTAAGAGATGTGACATCACTCTCGCTATTTCTCCACTTATGGACAGAACTTCAAAGGAAGTTTTCTCCATAAGCATTAATGTGGTATAATGCTCAGCTTTTCCACTAGAAAGAACTAGAAGAACAGTGAAGATATGACTCTGAATCCTTTGGCCTGGAGACAAAATATCCCACATCTTGGGCAAGTGCTCAGATTGCCAGGCAGTGATACAAAATGAAGGCACCGATCCTTCCCCCCTTGCCCTGTTACTGATGGACTCTGGGTGGCTGACATGTGAAGTCTAGGGTTTGCTGTCCTCAGCTGCAGGGTCTGAATTCCATCTTGGTGCCGTAGGACTGTCCTGCACCAAGGTATGTGGATGGTGACACATGACAGTTGCTGTTTTGAAGCAAAGCAAATTAAATGTAGCAGAGAGCAAAATTCTCTTCAGAAAACTCTTTTTATTCCAATGAACACATCCTAATTGCTTGCAAGTGGACATGAATGCACTGAAAGGAGACCCCGCTTATAACATCTGAAGGTTGAAAGCCATCCCTGGTGCTCAAACCCCAGTGAAACACTGTTTTCCTTGCTTACAGCTCTGAACTGCTCTCCTCTCCTGTTACTGTATTTAGTGTTTAACTGAGACTAGTCCATTATCTAGCAAAGCAACTTGGGAGGCAGTTTTTAATAAAAGGTACTATAAGAAATAAAGTTTATTGTATTACAAAGCTGTATGTTGCAATGTTATTACTAGCGAATCAACAGCAAAACCCAAGTGATGATTTGTACATTCTGCTCTTACCATCAGAAGATGAATTTTGCTCTTTAAGTTTTACATACTAATTTTCCTCCTCATCACATGCTAGTCAAAAGTAGCAGACCAGAAAGGCACTGCCATTTCTTTGCCTGGACATTAGAGAAAACTCCATGTATGTACATACTTCTGTGTAAAGCATCAGTTGAGACTTTAATGGCCACTGAGTGAGTTTGATCCCTTGATGACTGACTTTCTCCATTTGTAGAAAGCAGAGCTGTCTCTGTCCCTCCATTTCTCCTGCCATAGCTCTGGCTCATCTCTTAGACCTTTGTCACCCCATGCCAATCACCAGCTTTGGTCACATGAGTCTGTCGTTTCAGTAAGTGCGAGAAAAAATCTGGTATGATGGACAAGATACAGAAAATGATGTGTACAAAAATCACACTATTGATTTCAGCTGTTTTGAATGTATTCTCCACCAGCAAAAATAAAATGACCTTTCTATGGCTGCAGTCAAAAGTTATTGATTCTTTAACCAAAACTTTTGCAACACTGTAAAAATTTGAAACATAAATATATTTATTATCCATGATTTTCAAAGCAAATGTGCATCTTAGAGCATTGGGGACAGCAAAAAGGCTTTTCATACGCTGCTGAAAAAAAGTTAAAGGATTATTTTTTGGCCTTTTTGCCACAAGGCTTTTATTTTCCTTACAAGCCTATAGACATTGTGCGACCACTAAGTATCTGTTTACTACTTTTATTTCCCCTATTTTGCTGCAGCCGGGTGGATACTGCCACCCCCACTTTTGCTGCCTCAGCTACTGCTCCGTTAGCAAGGAGTGCTGCTGAGCCCTGGGCCAGCTCTCAGCGCAGCGGACTGCACTGTGTTTATCCAAACAGCGTGGCTCCCCAGAGACCTCCTCAGATCCTCCAGCTCTGCTACTCTGGACTTCAAGTATTTGTATTTAAAATGCACTGTCTTCCAATCCTTACAGAAATGGGACAAACAGATACACAGTTTAGTCCTGAGTTTGAGCATGAAATACTTTTAGCAGTCTAGGCTATAAATCCTTCGGCTGGATGAAGGGAGAGTTTATCAGGGAAAAGATTAAGTTTAAACCCAGCATTTCCATGTTGATAGCGGCATTATTATTGCCATCAAGTGCATGCACTGCATATCTCACTAGTAAGTAGGTCTAGCGTATCATTCAGCTTCAAGGTCTGTTCAAAGGATTTTTTGTTGTGCTCTCGTTAGCTTTGGATTGATCTTGCTTTCTTCCCCTTAAGTTTTTGTTTGTTTGAGGGACAAGTTTTAGAATAATTTTATAAGCATTTACAAAGACAAAGCTAAATCTACTCAGGCCATCTCATGTCATGGTGCACAAATACTCCAGCTGAAAATTAAGGTATGTTACACAGTTATATTTTAAGTATATATATTTATATACATACATTTCAGGAGGTTAATATTTAGTATTTGGTTTATCTTATTTAGGTGTGGCTGTTGGAAGGGGAAGATCACTGGTATTCTTCTTGGCTGAAACGTCATTGGAAGCAGATACTTATACATTCAGTCTTACTTTCCCTTTGCCTCTGCAGTTAACCTGATCCAGTTGCCCATGGTGCTTCTTGGTGGCTAGCCAAGGCCTTGGGGTGTGGAGCTGGGCTTCTGTCCAATATGTTTGGATGATTTGTGGGTGCACATGCAAAGAATACCTGCAAAACCTTTTTTTTTTTCAGATTATACAGTCTGACACTTTCAAGGATTTCTATCATGTCCTCTTTTTTGACCTCCAACAGTGCTGCTCTTTCTGAGACTTCTCAGCAGTCCCTCTCTCCCTAAAAAACTCTTTCTTAGTCCTACCAACAGTGTCACTGTTGTTTAAGACCAATTGTGCACTGCAGCTGTTTGTCTTATCACATGCTGAAGGTTGAAACTACTGGACCTCTACAAACCCATTTTTCTTTGGCTGATTCCACAGACTGCGTCTTGTCAATATCATGCACAAATGATCTTCATTCTGCTTGTTCAATATCATGCACAAATGGTCTTCCATGGACCTTGCGATCAAAGCACATTCACCTTCGTCAGCCGCATAGTGGTCCTAACAAGTAGAACATGCTGGAGCATTTGTTGATGAATGAAGTTGTTTTAAATATAATACCTGGGTGGTGTTTTGGTATTCCTGAATGTAGAAGACCAAAACAGTAGTATATTTGCATAAAGCAAATGAATGAAATTCTTCACAGTCTGTCTTCTTAGTTCCTTGTCAATCTTGTTTGGTCTTGGTAAAGGGTTTGAAGGTTATTGGCACAGATCTCTGCATATTGGGTTTTTATAATCTGGCATCCTTAAATGACATACTATATACTTTTAAATTACTGTTGTTCTTGCTTGTTTGCAGCCCTTCAGCCATTTCCTACAACTATTTCAGTATTAACACTTTATCCACCTCTTGCTCAGCCTCAGAATTACGCATTCCTGGATTATCCCAGGATCTGACTTTAGGTATCTACTATAGGTGCCCAAATTAGGAAACAGTGTAGACAGTTGTCGTGGTTTAACCCCAGCTGGCAACTAAGCACCACACAACCCCTCACTCACTCCCCCCTCGTGGGATGGGGGAGAGAATCAGAAGAGTAAAAGTGAGAAAACTCGTGGGTTGAGATAAAGACAGTTTAATAGGTAAAGCAAAAGCTGCGGATGCAAGCAAAGCGAAACGAGGAATTCATTCACTACTTCCCATGGGCAGGCAGGTGTTCAGCCATCTCCAGGAAAGCAGGGCTCCATCACACGTAACGGTTACTTGGGAAGACAAACACCATCACTCCAAACGTCCCCCCTTCCTCCTTCTTCCCCCAGCTTTGTATGCTGAGCATGACGTCATATGGTGTGGAATATCCCTTTGGTCAGTTGGGGTCAGCTGTCCCGGCTGTGTCCCCTCCCAACTCCTTGTGCACCCCCATCCTGCTCGCTGGTGGGGTGGTGTGAGAGGCAGAAAAGGCCTTGACCCTGTGTAAGCACTGCTCAGCAGTAATGAAAATGTCCTTGTGTTATCAACACTGTTTCCAGCACAAATCCAAAACACAGCCCCATACTAGCTACTATGAAGGAAATTAACTCTAGCCCAGCCAAAACCAGCACAGCAGTCCAGGCAAAGAGTTCAGATGCTGCTTCTGTGTGCAAACAGCCTAGGTTTCCAGCTCAGGAACCTGCCTTAGACTCCTTAAGCTGGAACTTATTGCAGCAGGATGGGGCTGCTCACTGTATGGTTTGAAATTATTCAGTGGTTAAACATGTTTAACTATACATCATTTTTTACTGAGTGTAAATCAGGTGAACAGTTTTCAATCATGCAAATAATCTGTCCTATCTTGCACATTTCTTTAAATGAAAACCTGCAATTAGGGTGGGGAACTGTTACATTTTGCTTGGCAAAGTCTTGGTGGTAACTTTGGTGGCCAGTGTTACAAATATCATTGCAGTCATATAAAATCATAAATTACCACTTGAATTGAAACTGTGTTTGCTGAATGATTTTTCTTTAATACATGGGACTTCAGATGGTTTGAAAAATGGACAAAAATTGCTCTTGGTTGTACAACATTGATCCTCAAAAGATGAAAAACCTCTCACATCTCTTTTTAAAAGCCTAGTGTGTTGCCATAAAATGAATTGTTTCATATGAATGTCTTAGTTCTATGATTAATGATAAAACTGAATAAATTTTTTTTATGATACAGGAAAACATTTAGCTCTATCCAAAAAAAACCCACCAAAAGGAGGGGTGGGAAGTTCATTAAATGGGCAAGAAAATTTGAGAGAGAAGAATTTTGTGGTGACCAAAGATTACAGTTTTGCAAATTCTGTCTTTTGCTTTGGTTACTTGTCTCTATATAATACTCCCATTAAGTGTAATTTGTATAACTGTGATAATGTCAATAGGTGTAGAATGAAAAATGCCGCAGAAAAGTAGGTTTTGTGCGTATAAGTGTGTGATGGCTTTATGACTTCATATATGTTGGGAGTGGGTTCGGGCAAAGAGTTTGAGACATAAGCTTTATAATGATAGTGTCTGAGGAATAATCCCCTCATAACACAGTAGTGCCTCACTCCAGAACAAATGGAGCTCCGCACTCATGGTTTGCTCCGCAGCAGCTCCCTTGCTCCTTGGCTCTCTCTTAGCCTAGCCATGGCTTCAGCTTTTGCCACTCCTGTTACTCTTCACTCGCGGCTGCAGCAGTGCCCCAGTGGCCCGGGTTCACCTTTAATGACCTCAGGCCCTGCCTGAAGCACGCAGAAGTGGTTACGGTGCAACTCATAGGTGCCATTTGGGATTCTCCAGGGTACCTGCGACACCTGCCTGGGCCTGGCAGATATGCCATGGGACTTAGGAGAGATCTGTGTTCTTCCAAAGGGGCAGGTGCAGGCCAGGTGGGTACTCTGGGGCATCCAAAATAGTGCTGGCTACCAGTGCTCAGGCAACTAAATCCCACTCTCAGACCCCCTCTATAATCAAGGGGGAGCAATAATCATTTTTAGAGGATGGTTCAAGATACTAGGTAAGTTGAATCATGCTGCTATTTCTTTTTCTGTCGACTGCAGACAGACTCTTCAGATGATAATGCTCCTAACGCTAAGCATCTCAGTTTGATTAGGTCTGGGTTTGTATATCTAGCTGTTCCAGATGACACGGTAACTGTGCAGAAAAGCATATGCTGATTCTAATTAGTTTCTGATTAGACCCAGGCAAAGTGTTTTTCTCTGAATTACGTATTTACAAAAAAACCCCTACCGTTTCAAGGTGGCTGAAAATAATTCATGATATTTGTCTCAGTTTTGTCAAAAGATTGGGTTACATAAAAGTGACAGCAAGCTGTAAGGAAAAGTCAGAGGAGTTTACTTTGATCTTTTTCAAAATGGTTGTTCCCACATGTGTCTGCTGGCTGAAGTTCTTATACTGACAGGAGCAGAAGGGGACAGACACCACATTGCCAGAGGAAGAGGCATGTGCTGCCTCTTCTTCCTCATACCCCTGCGGCTTGCCTGCTGACAGTCATTCAAAGCCTTATTCTCTTTATTCTTCAAATCCTTATTAGAAGCTTGTTAGCCCTTGAAGATAGTGGATTGGCTGGTAGACTGAAGCTGTGGTACATCATGCCAGTTTACACTGCTTCTCTCTGCTGCTGGTTTGTTTTTATTCACTCGCTGCCTTGGAGCAGATGTCAGCTCGCTGGAGGCAAGGCTGGCCTCCCTGCGCTGGGGCTGCACCTCTGCCACGCTCAGGGTGCTGCAGACAAGGGTTCACCTTCTTTCCCTGCCTAAAGTTTGTCTCTTCTCATCCTTCCCAGGGACGTGAGGTGAACATGGGGGTCCTCTGATAATGTTGCCTCAACCTCTTCTGCTGGCGCCGCTACTTTTGTACTTTTAAGCCAAGAAAGACCTGGCTTAGAGAGGGAATTGGGGCTTAAGTTTCCCTCTTACTGAGTCATTCTCGTTCTGCATTGAGTATTTCAGAATAAAGCAGAGCAGAGAGGCATCAACGGGAAGGATTACAACCCCATCAAGAACAGCCCACAGCTTGTTTGTTAGGAAGCTCTCCTGGAGCAGAGCGATCCGTTATGTGGGACCCACATATCTCTAATGTGGGTGCTGTAACCGTCAGGCTGCTGGTCACAAGACGTGCTGCCTCCTTCAGCAGGCTGGCAAGTCTAGCCGTTTGTTTTCATTCCCTTTCCCTTTTTTTTCCTCCGGAGAGCAAATGTCAGGATGACAGCACATTCTTCAGGAGTATGGTTTTGCTGGCTTGTTTTGACAAGGATTGGCGCATAGCATGGCTCCATCCCTGGGAACGTGTCTGTGTGTGAAATAATGAGCAGCAGTCATTGCAGAGCTTTCAAACTCTGCGCAAAAAAGGCAGGGGTAACCTGAGATATCTCAGCCTAAGCAGCCAGGACTGCCGAGGCTTTAAGAAACACCTAATTCTCTCCATTAGCTACACAGGGAATAAACAACGAGTCTAGGGGAGAAGGACTGCTTCCCTCAGTGCTGATCCTATCTAGCTGCAAGATGAATGTCTAAGGAGGGAGGGCCAAATGCTCTCCCCCGACCTTCACTGTATGGATTGGCAAATGCCAGAAAAAGTGGATACAGTGACATTAAGATACAGTAATAAAGTATTAGTAAGAGACCTTGGGAATTCAAATCACTTGGGAACTTGAGTAAATTGCCTTTTAAAGGCTTTCTATGTATCAACAGGGATTGCTGTAGAGGGGATGTTTAATTTATTTACTTGCTGTATTAAATTAGATAATTTACACAAATTATCAGCCATAAATTGGCCATGGAGGAAATCAACCCAATCTCTATGAATCAGTTTATCTGTGACCTGTTTTAAGATACCTGATAGGATTTTGATGCATAATTAATTAATTAAACAGGACAAATGTTGTCACTCTGAGTGAGGTTCTAGCTTACTCATCTTATGAATCACAGCTGTAGGTGTTCATCTCATTGGCCATGCACTACTCCATGATATACTCCTCATCTGGAAGACTGCTTGCTCTCTCAACAAATCTATAAAATATTCTATTTGATACCCATTGATGCAGTTGCTTATTTCTATACTGCTGAACTCATTTCCTCTGAGGTAATTGAGTCAATAAGTTTCTCATTATTTAGCTGATCCAGCTTTGGCATTTTAAATTTAGATATTCAATAATTTCTAGTCTATCAGCTTCTAACTTTGATATACACATCTGTTTATTACTGTATATTAACAATTTCCTTATTATTAATTTTGATGCGGTTGATATTTTATCACTAAGAAACACCTAGCCATTACTTGTGAAATTGCCCTGTGTTTTATATTATTTTAGTAATGGATTTATTATTAATACATATAAATAACCTGAAATGTAAAATAGACGTACAGACATTTATATACAAAATTATGGACACTAAAACCCAGTTTAGTGGAAAGCTGAAAAAGTTATTTGATGGTTGTTATGGCTAAAGAATAGTCAGATATTTAAATGTCTGTATTATGATGACATTTACAAAATTATTTGTAACTATTAACATATGTATTCAGCAACTAGAAGAGGGATGGGTACTTAACAGTAAGGAGAGAAGATGATATACAATATTTACTATATAATTTTAGACATAAATTGATAAGCATGTGCAAGAAGTTGGTGTGAAAGAGAGAAAGGAGTGTGAAGAGAAAAACAGTCCTACCACACATTGTCCTCATTTTCCAAAATACTTTCTTTTTGTCAAGGAAGTTGTTCTGCCTCTTTTTTCCTCTCCATTTAACTGTGGAAACTTTCAGCATGGAATCCCAGAAAATCCCTCTGCAAATCTGTATAAAAAGTCCTTTACTTGCAGCAGGTGTAGAACGCTACCTTTAGAGTTCCCTGGCTTTTGACACTTTAACCCCCTTGTCTTCAAGGATGTGGCTGGGATAAATTAGCACTGGAAAGATAACTTTCGAGGCAACCTTGAGCTCGTGCTAGCTTGCTAACTTGGGCCCTGAAGCTGTCCTTTAGCTGGAGCTATACGGAATTAGTGCACTCTGTTTGGAAGGTGTTTCATGGTGACTTGTGATATAAACATATTTTTATTTAAGCACTTTGATCATGCTGTTGTCCTTAAGACACAATTATCTGTAACTTCGGTGTTATTGGCCAACTTGAATGTGTGGTGCAGTTATATCCTGACTGCGCAATGATTGAGAGGCACATGCAAACTAATGCTCCTTTACCACAGTGTCCTGGGAAAGGAAACCCCTTCCTGTGCTCTAGCAAGCAGCATCCTCATGACTGCAATTTTCTGGGGTCTGAGCCTTGCCCTGGCCTGACATGATCCCAAGATGAAGGGTGTTACAGCAGACATTGCCCACTGAGGTACTGCCTACACGGCT